TTTGTGTTTTTTGTTACAACACTATCGGCGTTTGTTCGGTACATTGCCATATATGCACAAATGTTTGTACCACAAACAAAAGACGTTATTAAGAAATAATATGGAATTTAGTGGACTTAGAAAAAGTCCAGGACTAGCGTTATACTTAAAGAATAATAATATAGTACCGATCCTTGTTCAATGTTTATAGGTGAAAAGAAAATACACAAAAAGACAGACAAATATAACTGCCCCACAACGTTTTCTGTATACCTAAAGGTCAGCTGGTGGAGAATGCCATACAGCATTAAGCTCGCCTTTGTACAAGTTCTATTGTGCATTAAAGAATAAAAAAAAAAGACTTGGAATACGGAGACATATACTAGGAACGACTGTCAAGATATGACGACCTCGGTGGTCTAGCGGTCTAGTACACCGCTTCACGTCCGATGGTCGCGGGTGCGGTTCCTCGCACGGCACAAACATTTGTATTCAAGAGTATGATTGTTTGTATCTGCCTGCGTGTTTTCTATATATAATATGTATGTATTTACGAAAAAAAATTATCTATGTATTTGTATCAGTTGTCTAGTACCCGTAACACAAGCTTTAGCTAGCTTGGGTCTAGATGGCGCTGTGTGAATTGTCCTGAGATTATTATTATTGAAGTATAAGCAAGAATGTACAATAAAATAACTATGTAATTAAATAGTTATTTAAAAAATATACATTTCTGATTGGCCAGTTCTAAACTAACATAAACAAATTTATAGTTGTACATATCATAAACCAATTAAGTATGTTGTACTACAACATACTAAATTGGTTTATGATAGTGTTTTGACCACTGATTGCAAACAATCTAAAGTGGCAATTCCAAAAACGAACCATCGGTTAACAACACGTCTACTTAATCTAGATAGACAAAACCTCAAAATAATGATAGGGACAATAACGGGCCATTGTTCCTTAAACAAACACTTATACAAAATTGATGCTACAGACAGCCCCCTTTGTCGGGGCTGCTTTGAAGCTGAAGAAACGGCGGCTCACGTAATCCTGGAGTGCACGGCAGTGGCCCAACAACGAAAACAAATCCTCGGAACGGTGAGGTCGCTCCGTGAAGCCTGCGAAGACACCAGGAGTCTTCTGCGCTTTTGGGAGGAGCTTGGCTGGCTACTTTAGTAGTCTGGCTCTACACGCACAACGGCCCGAATGTGAGGCTAATTGCGGAGAATGGAGTCCAACATACGATACGATACGATACGATAGTGTTTTATTATTTGCATTAAGATTGCATCAAATTAATAAATCATTTATTGGTTTAGGACATTTTAGCTGCTTATGAACGTCAAGTTTATAGTAATTTATATTTTTTACCTATGCAGATTTAATTCAGAAGAACTAGCAAGAAATTCAACGGAGTTTCTTTTTTTATTAAAGCCAGTTTATTTACATTTTTTGTATATATATGTGGTTTGAAAATCACGTGCATGAACTACTATTTAAATAATCGTTTAGTGAGTGATTAGTGAGGCTTTGCTAAATAAATATGATTTAACAGATGTTTTTAAATATATTTAAAGATATTTCCACTATATTCTTTGGTTGTCATTGTCAAATTGTATATCCAAGTCTAAAATAATATTGATTTATCATATTGCACGTAATTATTTTATTTAAAAGTGAATAAATAAATAATTGTTTATTTTTATTTATATATTTATATTAGAGTTGAAATTAAATAAAATAATTACGTGCATTATAATAATTCAATATATTTTTATTATTTTTTATAGATATGTCCGGGGTTATCCCTGGACAATTAACACAGCGCCATCTAGTGCCATGGTAAGCAGAGCTTGTGTTATGGGTACTAGACAACAGATATTAAAACTTAGATATATATTTTTGAAAATACATGCTTATTATACGTAGAGAACATTCAGATCGATACAAGCAATCATAATCATGAATACAAATTGCATTGTACTGTGCGAGGAATCGAACCCGCGATTAGCGAACTAAAGCGGAGTGCTAAACTGTTAGACCATTGAGGCCGTAATATATGTATATACCTAATTGATTAATAAAATGGTACATTTATAATTATTCAGAATCAATTACATTTTGTGATTAATAATCTCATTTTTTGGAGGAAGGGGGAATTAAAATTCCTAATAATGTGGACTGATGAACATAATGCTAGCAATATACATGTCAGATTGACCTCCACGCGGTACCCCCTGGAAACCATCGCGATAAATTCTTGATGAATTTGTCACGATGTACTAACTGACCTGACCTCATGCTCATCTTAACATCTTCCACTGGTGCCCCGCCAGCGTAAACCGTCAGCGCAGGCGGGTGCACCATTACATTATCATCCACAAAAAAAAACATTTTTTTGCGTCTTTACTTTTAGTAACTTGAGGATAATTTCGATCTAATTTTCTGACTGTACGGTATTTGAAGTAACGGTGGCAACCAGCCAGCAGATAGTTATATCACGCTCTTATTATTATCTTAGTTAATGTTACATGGATAGCTACATAGCAGTATCGGTACTCATATTTTCTGCTTTAATTGGGCTTTTAATGAGAAGTGCTGGCCGAGTTGTTCACAGTTTACGATGAAAGATCGTGTGGAATAATAAATATTTGTTTATATATACTAAATACTATTAGATATATCTAAATGTAGATGGAATCATCCATCTACATTGTTTTTTTCAACAAACATCAGTTTGTTACTCTTTCACGCAATAATTACTGAATAGATTTTGATAAAACTTTACAATGACATAGATCATTAGAATAACACATAGGGTACAAATAATAGGATAGGATGTTTAAAAAAATCAACCACAGATCCACTTTATAGTGTCAGGATATACGCATGCTTTGGGCATTTTAAAAAGTATATTTTAGTTTTATATGCATATACAGTAAGTCTGTGAATTGGCTATTATTTATTTTTCATACCCCTAAGTGATAAGGGTTGTCCACACCTAAAATTTATTTTTTATTTTTTGGAGAAATATAGATTTTTTTTATTATGAGTCATAAAAAAATACATACAACCCTATCACCAACCCCTGCTTTTTAATAGTGATTTTACTTTATATGGCAAAATAACGTCTGCGGCGTCAGCTACTATTAATTATATGGATAACTGGACCCTGAGAAAGGACCGACTACTTTTTAGTGCGAAAAAGGGTTGTAAGGGGTTGAAAGCGGAGATGAACAGTTGTATGAAAGTATTGTCATTTTTTAAGTAGAACGATGAAACATATTTAGTTATAATGTAACTAAATATGTTTTCTTTATTTGGTTAAGTTCACGCGGACAATGTCGCGGGATCAGCTAGTCTATACATATAAATAAAATTGGAGTGTCTGTTTGTAATATTGATATAGTTTTTTACTACATGCATACGAATATATATACGGTACACACACCAAAATGTCTGTCTGTTCCGGCTAATCTCTGAAATGGCTGGACCGATTTTGATGGGACTTTTATTGGCAGGTAGCTTATATAATAAGGCGTAACTTAGGCTACTTTTATTTTAGAAAAATAAAGTTAAATTCCACGCGGACGAAGTCGCTAGCTAAATATAAAGTTAGTTAAATACAACAGCTAGTTAAATATAAATAAAGAGAAATGGGTTGTAAGGGTTAAAAGGTTGTATGGAAATATTACCATTTGTAAAGCTAGAAGCTTGAAACTTATTTTTCGCGTATAAGTCACGGGTACAGCTAGTCGATAATAAAGTGAGAAAAGTGTTATTTGTTTTACAACTTCCTTGTCCTATTTCGTTGCGACCTACTGAACTAATGTCCACAGAATTACGCACAGTTCGCGCCAACAACTCTGATAATTATCATTACGATTAGCATCATTTGTGTTTGTAGGGCAGATTGTTTGCTACCAGATATCTGTAATTTCGTTCGCTGCTCGAAGAAATGTACAGAAAAGTATAGCCCTTACATGAGGGAATTATTTGATCACGAATACCGCTATATTCTTAATCTGTAGTCATTTATTTTGTACTAGCCGTACACGCGACTTCGTCCGCGTGGAATTTATATTATTTTTCTAAAAGAAAAGTAGTCTAAGTTACTTCTTATTACTTTAATTACTACCAATAAAAGTCCCGTCAAAATTGGTATGTTTGTTCAAAACAAACAGACAGACAGAAAGACACAAAAATTGTAAAAAATGTTATTTTGGTGTATGTACCGTATTTAAATTCATATGCTACATGCATGTAAAAAATTATTTCAATATTACAAACAGACACTCCAATTTTATTTATATGTATAGATACAGGTTAAACGGGATTGAGTGTATATGTAGAGATTTTTATAATTAATAATAATAATGACTTTTGCTAACACAGCGCCATCTAGTTTCTCTGTAAAACTTGTGTTATGGGTTTCTTTAGATTACTAGACATTTTTTTTTGTAGAAACATACTTAATATATGTACATAGAAAACAGACCGATACAAACAATGCTAAATCATGAACGCAAATACTTGCACCGTGCGATCTGCTAAACCTTAGATCCTTTATCAAATAAAATTTATATTTGATCAAGTTAGAAATGCAATTTATCTGCCGGCAAGATTCGACCTTACTTTATATACTTTAGGGTTTATAAATCTATAACTGTAAACCACCGGGCGCGACACTTTCTGACAGTTCTTAATTTCGTTATTTAGCGCTATTAAAAAGTATTCCATAATTCAAATTTGGCAGACATTCGAATTATGGAATACTTTTTAATTTCTTAGAACCAAATATAATATTTTTATTCAATGGAGCAGGCAACGGTCGTTTGACGGTACAGCCTTATTTTCCATTACTTTTAGTTTACATTTAGAACCAATAATATTTTTATTAAATGGAGAAGGCAACTGTCGTTTGGCGGTACAGCCTTATTTTCCGATTACATTACTTTTTTAATTAAATTATTACGCTATAAAGATGTTGATTATAATGTTTTTTTTTTCAGGACAAGCCATGACGTGATCGAGGCGGATACGATGAAGTGAATTATTGTTATAACAACAACATGAAATGAACATGGAATCGCCAGTTAGAATATTTATAGGTGGGTATCTATTACTTATGAAGAATAAGTAATATAAGTTAAATCGTGATACCGTTAGTTAACAAAATCACGGTAGGTACTGTGCTTTTTGAAGATAAAAATAAATAAAGTTTAAGTTAAAGGTCAAGAATAGCATTAATTTTGAAATTTAAACATTTGTGTAAATAATATGTAAAAATGTATAAATAAGATCATTTATATATTTTATTAATTTATAACGTATAAATTCTACGATTGTTATAAAGTAAAGATAAAGAGTTATTTTAAATGATATAAAGAATTTTATTTCAACTTAAATATTTTATTTTTACTATTTAAAATATATTTACGTTTGAATATTTATTTAAACATAAATTTGTTTAAATTTCAGGTGTAGCATTAGTAGTAAACTTACTACTGTTGAGCAGCACCTTAGTTAGTGGCAACGCGTTGCCTCAAGAAACGACTTCGACTACTGTAAGAAATGAGCGGAACGCGCGACACGAAAGAGTTAATGGCACGTCATGGGACCCAAGAAACAATATCAAGAGTCCTGACACGTCATTGAATGAATTAAACGCCAAAGAATCATCAACTGAAGAACATACAGAGAAGAATGCAAAATATAAACACAGAGGAAGAATACGATTTCAAGCGAATGCCAAAACTACTACAGAAACACCTTTGAGAAGACACAGGGGTTCAACCGAACCAACCAACGTGATAATTGTCACACCAACACCAGAAGTGAAAAAACCCGCACAAATTATAGACAGCATGAAAAAATATAAAAGAACGAAATTACCAGTGATGTTAAGTTCCACTCCCAGTACGTCTATTTCTATAAAAACAGAAAGTCATAGTGAAGAAGAAGAATATGATGAAGATGATGAGGAAGACAAAGAATTATATGAAAAATTTACATCTAGCAAGTTCGATACTAATTTTTTTACCATACCTAGCTATAATGATGATTTCAGTCATTTCACAGATCAGAAAAGTTCAGGAAATCAAGTCAGAGAGGATTATAAAAGTTCACCTTTTGGATTTTCAACATTTTTCCCCAAAGATTCTTATGGTCCCGAGGATCACAACGATGAATCTTATAAATCTGATAGTTTCTTTGACTTCAAATCTGAATTGACTACACCAAAACATGACTTTTTTGACAAGAAATACCAAGAAATATCTAGAAGTATTTTAAAGAAATTAAACTCTATACCAACGCACACTCCAACAAATGCTACTAATGTTCATAAAATTGTGAAAGAGAATATAGGATTAGAAAGAGTGAATAACAATGTACCAACAAATAAGTCTACAGTGTTTATAAAGAATACCAAAGAAATACGTCTTTTAGATAATGATAGTGCTGGAACAGTTAATAGTGGAATATCAGATGTACAAGGTACAAGTATTTATTACGAAATGTCCGTACTGTCTACTGAAACGTATGCTATAGATCATTCCGATGATGACTGTGATAACGACACGTTGCCTTTAGAACCTACAGTTAGTTCATCGTCTGAGGAAGAAATAGCATCTATTAAAGCGACGCAACCTACATTACTACCAGGTGCTACAAGACCAACATATCCTGATCCAAAACCAGATGCAAACTCTGATTCTATATCAACAATATCATCTAATTACCTCCCTATCTCAAGTATTATGCCACCTATACAGAATTCAATTAGTCCCATATCTGTACAAAATAATGTATTAAGTGACTCATCTACTGAGAAATCTGCTAAAACATTTTCAAGTAGCTATAGTAGAAACAGAAGTTATCCAAAACGTTTGAATTTTAATGGAACGAAAGATTCATTGAATAGTGTAACGTCAAAATCGGAAGCAGTATCTCAGAGATCGCAGACAAGAAAATTCCATCACACGACACCTAAAGTAAAAACTATATGGATGTTACCACGTAGAAATATTACTAGATTAAATAGTAGACCAACAACTATATATTCTGAGCATTTTAATATAAAGGAAAAATATTCGACTACGTCACGCCCTCAGCAGACTAATAAAGCTATTCTGACTACAGTCTCTTCTGAAATAGATCCAGTGTTACAAAGTGACATTAGTGGTATAGAGAAAGTAGTTCATTCTCCATCTATATCTGATAATAGTATTCCTTCCTTATGGAAACGAGGATCAACTAAGTTCGCTACATCAACAGCGACATCATCTGAGACTGGAGATATTAATGATATGGAAATACCACCAACTTTAACTGCTTGGGCATTAGCTAGTTTGATAAGTCCACCTTCATTGCCGAATACAGCCACAAATACAACTGGATCAACACAGAAAAGTATAGACGAGAATGAATTGCAGAAAGTTGGAGAAATTACAGGTATTACCTATATTTTATTATGCAAAATAATTGTAAATTAGTAATAAGTTAATATTGTACATTGATAATATGGTCTCTTAAAATCATGACAGAATTTAATTATTAATAACAAATTAAGAATTTTAAGTAATCCCCGAATTAAATAAACTTATAATTTTCGCTGATAAAAGTAGCAAACAAACCGCATCAAAATCGGTCCATTCGTTTAGGAGCTACCGATACCACAACTCTCTAGATCGACACGTGAACCTTACATACAATACATATATTTTGCGTCATGTTTAAAAAAAGTAAAGTAAAAATAAAAATGTGTTTACATTTTTGTATTAATTATAATAGTTTTAAATTTTATATCGTCGTATTCTTTGTATTCTACAATTACATTCTAAGTAAATTATATGCAACGATGATTCTTACTAAGTACTTTTAAATACTATTACCCGCTTATTGTTTTATGCGTATTAATAATCACAAAACGATACGACTTAACTGATGTATACATATGTGGTTTTCACTAATATACTTTGTTAATCTTCACTAAAAATTAAATGTTTATTTTATTATAATCAGTATGCAAACAAAAATGTTATACGAATAAGAAGTTGCGAGCTCAGCTAGTTGAAAACATAAATAAGTAATTTAATATATTATATTATCTGTGATAAAACCAAAAATTAAGTATTTAATAGGTATCGTAATAGAGAATATACATTAAATACGTTATTTATATCTATTGCTAAAATTATATTATTGTTAATAATTTCAGATAAAAAAGAAGAAAGAATCACATCTACAGCTTCACCAACAACAAAATTAAATAATGACATTGAAACTAAAAAAATAATTGACGTCGACCAGAATAAGTTGGGATGGAGACCAGTATTCACACCACCTTTAACTGATAAACCAGTCTCTCAGGATAAAACTGAATTATTACATACATCTGAAAGGTTGCCAGCTGAGAGTAATCTGTACGTTAAAAGCAGCGCTCAAGAAAATATTCCTACTGAATCTAATTCAGCAACATCCACTGAAATAGTAAAAGGAACGGTTAAAAACAATCATATGAATTGGGTTTCTGTAACAGAACATTCTGATCAAACAACGCCAGCAACATTCCGTCAGATGATAGAAAAAGTTGATCCCATTAGTTCTACAAACTTAACTGGTTTTGAGTCTATTACAAAATTACCTTCCGATTTAACTACTCCGCAAGATGATACCATCATTAATGAACAAGAAAATGAATCCTCTATGACGGAAATAATTACAAAATTGCCTACCACAACTGATTATGACATTACAACCATCCGATTTTCTTATGTACCGACAGAAAAAGTAATCGATGATACTGAAATGCATACCACACAAAAACCTACAACCAGCAGTGATTGGCACCCTGTGTTCCCAACTAGAACAAGATTGACAACCATAGAAGATGGCCCTGTCACTACATATCGACCTCAGTATATGACTACAACAGACTATAATGAAGAAACGACTACAATAGTTCCCGAAACTACATCTTCAGATGAAAAAGATTCAACGGAATCTAATACTGAATCTGAAAAGTTAACCGAAGTTACCGAAACGATTAAACAAACTACAACAACAGCTAAAATGACATTAACAACTGATCTAGTATCTACTACAGATTCAATCACTACACCAAAATTAATACCAGTTATAACTACAACCTCAGTCGAGACAACAGCAATACCTGAAACTACATCTATTGTAACAGAAGTTGTAACAGAAATAAATACAGAGATACAACAAAAGCAAGTAACTGATGCACCATCTACCACAACGACAGAAGAATCAACTGAAGCAACGTCAAGTGAAACAAGCGAGTCTGATTGTACTTCTGAAGAAGATAGTGGCAGTAACGAAGTTATTACACAAGAATCTACAAAAATGACTACATCTCAAATAACATCTATAACTACACATACAAAAATAGATCAGGATGAAAACTTAACTACTGAATCAGAAATAACGACTACTGAAGATAACAATAAAGATTCACAAGAAATAACTACACAAAGTTTAGAAACAACTACAAAGCATAGTGCAAAAATCTACGATACTACAGTAGCTACTGAGGAGACTACGATCGAAGTTACGACTGATTTAGGTACAAAATCGGTGAATGATTTGGAGGATGTAAGCAGTTACAATGGAGAGATGACTACAGAAGCAAGACCAAGAGTTTCTGGAGAGGCTGAAGAGGAGAGTTCTGGAGCAGCCGTCGCTATTGCAGTCAGCACTATTGGTGTCATAGCACTGATTCTACTTATTGGATTGTTGGTAAGTTTTGGCATTAATTTTTATTTTTGAATGTTATATTATGACTGACTTTTCGGTGATGAAAATATTAATAACAGATCATATTCATTAGAGAGACGGTGGTAGGGTCGCCGTCCGCCACGTAGTTACAAAACAAAGTCTCCGAAATACGAGAATGGTAAATCTACTGTTTATTAAGATGTTGACAGTTGACAATGCTATTAAGTATCTGGCATTACGGTTTTAAAGGTAGATTAGAATGTGCTTCATTTGTGTTATACTATGATAAAAGATACGTTTAATTAGTAAACATACAAACACAAAAAGGCGGCCATACTGTTGAAAGCAATTTTTTAAGACAACGTAAGGAACAGTTGTACGAAATGGTGGGTGACGCGCAAATAGGCATGAATAATTATATATATAACAAGGACAATAATAAAAATTCAATTAATGACGGAATAATATAAATAAATAAAATACGTGTATATATTGAAAGCTTAATAAACTGTACATTGGAAAAAACAATATTTGATCTGATAATAGTGAAGTAAAAATAATAAATAATATCTATTCTAGTCTGTTCACAAAAGTATAAGTAATTATGATTGATTTCAGTCATAATTAATAGCATTATAATAAAAATTAGAATGTATTTTTTACAGAATATGCTATTAATTATTCACAGAGCAGAAGTAATGCGATTACGCATGGAATTTATCTTAGTCCTTTGGAAAGGGCTGAGTTATCACGGTCACGTGATAACGTGCTGACGGTAGTGCTGTACCACTTACCATCAGGTGGTCAGCTCATTACAGTTCAATAAAAACTTAAAAACAAAAAAAATGAGTTATACACAAATAGGCCAAACAAAATAAAACTAGTTAATTTACCTGACAAACCTAAACTCAAATCAATAATAATAAATAGTAAAGATGCTAATATGTTTATAAACGTACGAGTAAACAATTGAAATTTGAAAAACCTGCATAAATAAAAGTTTACTCCGTTTGCAGTTTGTCATAATTCTTCTTTTCTTCTGCTATTCTTCTCCATGTTGTCCGATTTCTCCACGACGCAAAAACTTACAATATATCCAAAGTAATGTGCATAATATCTTGTTTAAACTCACGATAAATTACGCTCACTACTTTGGGAACATTGTAGTGATATATAATAATCTTCAATATTTTCTCCCATTCACTGGAATAATAAAAAGAAAAAGAAATGTATATACGTTCTCACGAAACTCAGGTAGGGATAGTGAGAAAGCCTTTACACGCTCTTTCAGGCACAAATCGGCGTTCAAGCAGAAAAGAATTTCATGTCTACGACAAAGAGACCGAAAATACCGCGCACGCGCCGTGAGCGCGCGCATTCCCGCGCTCTTGAACCGTCCATGCTTTAGCGCCTTTTTGTAATAATTAATTATCATTGCAAAATGGCGGATATCTGACTATGGAGCAAAGACATAAATCTCTGCACAACTCATGGTTGACTGGTAGAAAATGCCATTAGGTATTAAGTCCGCCATATGTACTTTTTACTTGTGTATGACGTGCATTAAAGTTATTTAAATAAATAAATAATTATAAAGTTATTTCAAAGACATAGTTATTGATCATTTATAAATCTTAAACGTGTCTTTGCAAAAATAAAATCGGCGGAATTAACATTAGAATGCCATGAATATGTTTCATCACGAACGAAAAAGTGAACACAATAAAATGGTTAAATGTAATATGTCATTTAATTATTTTTTCCATCTGTCCCGCGTTAAATCGCACGCACTCTGGAGCGCGAGTGAAAGAATGTGTCATGTAAAGGCATCATCATTGCCTTGCCTTTATCCCATTATTTGGGGTCGGCGCAGTATGTCATTCTCTTCCACTGATCTCTATCAATCGTCATATCTAAACATACTCTTCTTTTATTCATATCATCTTTCACACAATCCATCCATCTTTTCTTAGGGCGTCCCCTCCCTTTGCTAACTGGGGAGCGAAGAAAAAACTTAGAACTGGGTTAGCATGCCAAATCAAACTTAGGCAAAGAATACCTTGTTGTAAAAGGACAACAAAGGAGTTTAAAGAAATCCCGGGGCAATAACAACTAGCAAAAACGGGCGCCTTTACGGTGGGCGTTAAACAACCAACAATAGCGTTCCCAAGGAGGGTTGGTGTCAGGCAGGCGGCCGGCCGTAAAACACTTATGCCAAAAACCTTTGCAGTATGGAAAATATGTAAAGGCATAAAGGCAGCTAATGTGTGTTTTTTAAGTTATGACTTCCCCTATTTAGATTTTAGAGTTTAGGTATCTCGTCCTCGCTATTTGAATGAATGTATGAATGAAAAAGTCTTTATTGTTTTCCTCACAGAATAAATACACACATTTACATACATGACAAGTAAGAGAAAGACGTAACTATGGGCGGCCTTATCGCTGAAAAGCGATTTTTTCCAGACATTTATTTGATATGAGACCTTGGTATATTTGGTAGAATTTGTTCCATAAATAAATAAACATTCAATTAGAAAATAAAAATATTTGAATAAGAAATAATCTTACTGAATAAATGTGTTGGCCACTGCGACGCTTCAGGTAGATTCATTGAACGTAAATTCTGAAAATATAAAAGTTTAATTTTTAATTAAGGTTAAAGGTTCAAGGTAAGGCTTACCTTAATTTTTGTCTTTACTTATCGCACATCTAGTACAAAAGTATTGTACTGTACCTATAAAGATTAAGGCCAGGCAAAAGTAAAAAGGAATTATTAATATATAAAATACACCCAGACAGATACAAACAATCATATTTCTAAATACAAATGTTTGCACCGTGCGAAGAATCGAACCCGCGACCATCAGAAGTAAAGCGGTGTGCTAAACCGCTAGACCAATATTATGCTCCCGTCAATATACATATACATAAAATACACCTAGACCGATACAAACAAACATACTCATAAATACAAAAGTTTACACCGTGCAAGGAATCGATCCCGCGACCATCAGAAGTAAAGCGATGTGCTAAACCACTAGACCAGCGAGGCCGTCAATATACATATCTATACATATAAATAAAATTAGAGTGTCTGTTTGTAATACTGAAATAACCGTATTTTACTACATGCATATAAATATATACACGGTACATATACCAAACAACATTTTTTAGAATTTTTGTCCGTCCGTCTGTCTATCTGTTTGTTCCGGCTAATCTCTGAAATGGCTGGACCGATTTCGACGGATTTTTTTTGTCAGATAGCTGATATAAAAAGGAGTAACTTATGCTACTTTTATATTAGAAAAATAAAGTTAAATTCCACGCGGACGAAGTCGTGTGTACAACTAGTATATATATATATCTTAGCAATAATAACCGTACCTACATCTCGCTAGACGTGATCTCATGCACGCTCTTGTCATACAATCCCGGATGTCTAATTGTAAACAGTGTCGGGATAAAATGATCATTCACCATTACTGTTATGAATTAACTGTATGTACCTGTAATTTATTGAAACATAGCTTAATCATTACATAGTATAAAACAAAGTCGCTGTCGCTGTCTGTCCCTATGTATGCATAAATCTTTAAAACTACGCAACGGATTTTGAAGCGGTTTTTTTAATAGATAGAGTGTTTCAAGAGGAAGGTTTACATATATGTATAATATATGTACACCCGTGCGACGCCGGGGCGAGTAGCTATTATTGTTACTCTTTCACGCAAAAACTACTAAACTGAATTTTGATGAAACTTTACAGTAATATAGCTTATGCATCAGAGTAACTCATAGGCTATATTTTATATTGAAATTTACCGCGGGACCAGCTCGTAACAATAATAATCTCAGTACAATTCACACAGCGTCGTCTAGACCTAAGTTAAACTAGCTAAAGCTTGTGTTATGGGTACTAGATAACTGATACATATACATAGATTTTTTTTTTTTTTGTAAATATATATATATTATACATAGAAAACACCCAGACCGATAAAACCAATCATATTCATGAATACAAAAATTTGTGCCGTGCGAGGAATCGAACCCGCGACCATCGGAAGTGTAACCGCTAGACCACCGAGGCCGTCATGTTTAATGTAATGTAATAGAGTCAGCGTACAGATTACAACCATTTCAGTTTAGTAATGAGGTGGGATCGTTAGACATTCCTCATCGCAACTCGAGCCAGCTATGTGGACACATAACACCGGCAGATTATTGTTATGTACTAACGAGAATCGCGAATGTCGGTCACAGGTTCGGTGTCAGCCCTTTGGCAGTTATTTTCAACCGACTGCTAAGAGCGGGATGTGATTTGGGCTAGTAAAAAGTTAACATATTACAACAAATATTTTTTTTACCATTACCACTAAGGTTGTTTTAATAATGTACATGAATAAAGTAATTACTTTTTTGCGATTATGAGAGCGTCGGGGTATAGTGGTTTAGTAGCCCGAATTGCACAAAGAAGGACGTGAGTTCAAACCTGGTCGGTTTAAATAAAAGTTTTAATTTACATTTCTAATTAACTCTCCGCTAAAGTTCAGTCTAAAGAGATCTTAGAAAAATGCGTCTAAATGCAAAAATTATTATGTAATATTTTTTTTATTTTACCATACCATCATTGTTAATTATTTAAAAAATAATCCAATACGTACTTTAAAAATTATTTTTGTTATTATTATGTGTACTAAGAAACTCATTTTCTTTCTTTCTTTCTTTCTTTCTTTCTTTATAAAATAATAGATGACGTTGTATTTAAAAACTTCTTTTTTATTATCGTCAATTGTTGGCATCTATGATATATATAGTAGGTACAATATATATGGACGAAGTCGCGGGAACTAGTAAAATATTTTTTACGTTTAATACAAATGAACACATATGAAGTGTCTGTTTTATTTAAAAAATTGTTGTCTGTCTGTCTGTTGTTAATCTCTGAAATGGCTGGACCCATTTAGACGGGATTTTCACTCGCAGAAAGCTAATGTTATAAGGAGTAACTTAGACTA